TGCAGAGGACTGGCCACCAGTGAGTGTCACTTTTGCCTTTCCCATGTTACCTATCCCTGTCCCCATCTTAGTCCTGTAAACTCAGCAGGTAGGTGGGTACAAGGCTCTGCCACCATTTTCTTCCATTGTTCACACAATATTCAGGGGTGTCCTAAACTCTCCTGGGGCTCCCAGGATCCCAGCCATCTGCCCCACTCCAGGACACTTGGACACGAATTGATTGACACAAATGCAGCGATCACACACATTTCATGGTGCCAAGAAAATGCTAGATCAGGTCCTCTAAACCCTGGTCAAATTGCTAATGTCAAATAGCCCAGGGCTGGAATTTAAAAGAGCAAATCCATCCTGACTTTGAACTCTCTAGTTTTTAACAGAAAGGGCCCAGTGCAAAAGCCCTGCTCTAGACCTTGCTCCTGCTCTGTAGCCCTGCTGCCCTGGAGCTCCTCCTCTTCCCTCAGCTCCTGGGTGGTGGGACTGAGGACTTGGCCCCCATTACTGGCCCTTGTGAGATTAGGAGGAACTCAGAAGAGAGATCCAGAGCCAGTCACCACAGGAAGCTGTCAGGTCATGTCATGTCGTGGCCGTGGTCACTGCTGTCTCCTTGTGGAGATGTCTGTGCCTGAGCTGCTCCAGGTGTGAGGTCCACACATTGGGGACAGAGTGAACCTCTTTTTTTAAAGTGCAGTGCACATTACCAATGAATATTTGTAAAGTGTGTAAATCTTTTTATTCTTGTTCTTTGGTTTTAACTTTTGCTTGTATTCATACAGGGCTTTCCCAGGCAACCCAGGCTGGCCATTTATTTATTTATTTATTTTTGTGACACTGGGCTTTGAACTCAGGGCCTCATACTTGCTTGCAGACTCTCTTATCACTTGAACCATTCTACCAGCCCCCCAGGCTGGCCTTCAAATGGAGATCTTCATGCTGAGCCCCACAAATGCTGGGATGACAGGTGTAGATGACAACCCCCAGCCCTAAACCTTTAGTTTCTTTATTTCTGCATATATTTAGTGATGTTTTCCTGTTAAATATTTAATATTTAAATGACATGTTCCTTCATGTCATTTCCTCTACAATTAATGTCATTCACCAAGGTTTGGTTGTGAGATGGAAAGGAAATAAAAGATGTTTCTTCTTGTAGAGACTTCGATATCCTAACGAGGATTCAAGTACCTGCAAAGTGGGATTTCCCACACTTAGAAGGAGCTAGAGTTGCACCAGGAACTCAGAGTAGCAAAGGAAGGATTGAGAAGTTTCTGTGCCACTCACATTTCCCACGGGAATTTAGGGAAGCATGTATTTCCTCCAGTGTCCACCCACGTGTCCTGCTCAGAGCTCATTCATTTTACAGAAGAGGAGGGTCAGTGAGGACACCTGGCTTGCCTGGAGTCACCAGTTTCTAGAAGCTCACATTTGAATCCAGAGCTCAGGGCTCTGCATCCCAATCAGTCCCTACTCGAGTCCCTTATTCCCAAGGCACACAAACAATCCAGAGTCAGGAATCAGGTCAAGAACTTTATTATCAGTCAAATACTTTGTAGAAAAAGTAATGTAGCATATTGGTCAGAGTTGTTTGAAAAAGAAACCTAGGTTTGAATATGTCACTCTATTTACCCTTTGGGAACAGGGCTATCCCTACACATCAGACAGTTCCACTTGTCAGATACCTCATTATAGACGCAGCTCTGGGCATAAGTAGCACAGTCTAAAGGAACAGTAGGACCAGTAGCCTGGGAAAGGAAGGGGAGAGTGAGAGGCTAGAGTGACTTATAACAGCAGGCCTGGCAATTAGCTCTGCCCAGCCTCACGTGACACTTAGTTCAGGCTGCCTATTGTCAGGAGACACTGGGGAATCTTTAGTGTAAGTCATGCTGCTAGAGGGCTGCTCAGCCCAACATGAGCCCAAGACAGGTAGAGAGTCAGGAGAGTCAGTGACAAAAGGAAGGCCAAAAACAGAGGAAAGTCCTCAAGAACAGGTCTGTTCCTATCCTCCTGGTGGCCACTCTGGATCTCAGTTTGTCTGTTTCATGAATAAGGAATCTCTAAAATTCTTCCAGCTGGGATCCTGAACCAGGTGCTGGAGGAAGGGCACACGGATGCAGGCCATTGGCCTTTTGCTGCCCACAGCCCACTGAATTTCCTCCTATGATATTCCGCAAATCCCCTGATCCCCAGGCAGGGCATACCACTCTTCCTGCTGGAGGCGAATTTGCACTCTGCAGCTGCAGAAGTCCGGGCAGGTGCAGGAGCTTCCTATGAGGAAGAGGAGAGAGCAATGAACTGGAAACAGATGCAGGAGACACAGCAGGGGGCATTAGCTCCCAGAGCCCCTCCTCTGAGCAGGGCCAGTGCTGAGTGCTCCTTCCCCACTCAGGGAGGAGGGAAAGAAATCTGGTCTTCTGTCCCCTCATGTGTACAGGGCAAGTGCTATTTTGTTTAACCCCACAAGAAAACTTTGAGACTCCAGACTCAGCCCAGGGTGACTGTAACTGGTGGCAGAACCTCAGGTTGCCAACTCATAAGAGGCGACCTCCTCTTCCTACACCTACCTTATTTACTCCAGGCCTTTTCAGAGCCCTCTAGCTAGGCTGTAGGCCCTTGACATTGGGTGACCCTAGATGATATCACCAGGATAGCCTTGAGCCTGGTACCATAGACTTTAACGTGTTAGGACATAGTGGGATCAGGAGCTCAAGAATGAAGAAAACACTAGAGAAATGGATTTCAATCAGCTCAATACACAATTTGACCTTCTCAAACACAGTGACACCCTGTGCCGTAGCCCGGATTCGTGTCCTATGTGCCAGAGGGAGGCATCCATTATGAGTGTCACAGGAGCAATTAGAGTTCATTTGGAGCCTAAATGAAGATGGAAGGATAGAGCAAGAGTCAGGTGGTCTTCTAGAAGATGCATTTGAATCTTGAGCCATCATTTACTGGCTTCAAAGCCAGGAAAGGGCCCAGTACAAAAACCCTGCCCTAGGGGGGAGAAATGACCCAAGCCTTGTATGCACATATGAATAATAAAGCAATAAATTAAAAAAAAAAAACCCTGCCCTAGACCTTGCCCCTGCTGTAAGCATGGCATTTATGCCACCCCACTCTCTGACGCAGAGAGTGCTTTGGCCACACTGAGGCCACTTTGTGATCTGAGGCTGGCTCTGCTTGCATGAGGGTCCACCCCTCACGTGCACACACATGTAGAGGAATTGGCAATGTGTCTGGCCCCAGAGGTTGTCCCTGTAGTCTAGCTGGCTTGACCCTGTTTCTAGCCCCGGGCATTCCAGGAACTCTTCCTCACCCTAGCCCTGCATCGTGGATGTCATCTTAGCCTTGCAGGAGCCCAACTTCCCAGGTCACTCCCTCATGGTGAGCCTGAGGGAGTTGTATACATCAAACCGGTCACCACTGTCACTTGCCTCCCCTGTGACTGTGCCTATCCCCCTCCCCCTTATTTCTTTGGCATGGTTCCTACTCTTTGTATATAGCAGATGGGCTAATATAGGGCGATGGCTCCTTTCTTACAATCTCCAGGCTGAAGGAACTTAAGGGCTCAGATGTAGGTCCTGAGTCAGAGCTGCTCTGTGACTCTCCATAGCAACCTGGCCACCCCACACCAGAAGGACATTTTGGACTTGAAGTGCTTCATCTAGAGCCAATGATCACATACTCCTCTTCTTGCCAAGAAAATGCTAGGAAATCCCTGCATCTGTGACCACACTACTGACTTGAAGAAGCCAGGCACTGGAATGTGAAAGAGCAATTTCATCCTGTCTTTGACAGGAACTTTCCTAGATACAGAACCAGGTCACATCAGAGAATTTCAGGGGTCAGCTAAGTCCTGCCAGTTGCTAGGTCACTGATACCTCTGTGGGGATGTTGGGTCCAGTGTTGCTCCAGCTGTGTGGGCCACACTGGGCACACAGATTCCAGTCTGCAATGCACATTGTCAATGAACCAATAAAAATTCATGTAGATTTGTGTTACGTTTCTTCATGTCTTATAATCATTTTCTGTTGATCCTAAAAATTGGTTAGTGTCAGCATAATTCATGTTATTGCATTTACCAAGACTCAGCTCAAAATGGATAAAAATTAGAAGCTGGTTCTGTTTTTTTGTTGTTTGTTTTTTGCTGGTACTGCTGTTTGAACCTAGGGCCTCAGGATGCTGGACAGATGCTTTATTACCTGAGCAGCTCCACCAGCCCTTTTTCTTGTTGTTAAGTATTTTTGATGAGTCAGTATCCTCCTGATTTCTGCCTCCTGAGTAGCTCATGTTACATATTACCTGAGCCACTGGTGCTCTCCCTAGAAGCTGGCTTTACCCCTGGAGTCTGGGGAGCCCATTGAGGATTCCAGCCCCTTTAGAGTTGGATTTCCTGCCCTCCTCTCACTTTCAATCCTAAAATCCATGGGAACTCCCATTGAGCATGAGAATCAATTGCAAACAAAGGATTAAGAAGTTTCTGGGACACTGAGCTGGGTGCTGGTGGCTCATGCTTGTAATCTAATGGAGACTGAGATTGGGAGGCACTTGGTTGGAGGCCATATGGGACAAATAATTTTCCGCAATAACCACAGCAAAATGGACCAGAGGTGTGGGTCAAGCAGCAGAGCCCCAGCTTCACAAAAACAAGCCCTGAGTTCAAACTCACATCCCACCAAAAAAAAAAAAAAAAAATTATACATTCCTGGGACACTACCATAGGAGGATGTTGTGATCATGTTTCTTTCAGCAACACACCAAAGGATCTAGTACCTGCTTTGCCCCTGTGGCATGCCTATACTCTTCAAGAACTAACGTGATACCAGACGCCAGGTCTCCCAATCCCAGCCCATTCACACCCCAACCCTTTATTTTCAAGGTATAAAAAAAAACAAAACAGAGTCTGAATAAGTCAACAATTTTTATTATAAATCACATACTTCACAGGAAGCAGTAAACAGGGTTCTATAAAAAAAGGAATTCAGTATTGTACAATCACTGTAATTATACTTGGGAACAGGATTTTCCCCACATCAGGCACAGCAGCTGCACTTGTCAGATGTCTCTTTGCAGACACAGCCCTGGGCACACTTGGCACAGCCCACAGGGCAGCAGGAGCAGCAGCCTGGGGAAGGAAGGGGAGGGTGAGAAGCAGAGCAGACTGACCAGCACTTCCTGTCTGTGGATGGAGACCCAACCTATTCACAGTAGTGTTGTCACCAGGGCATGGCTGTGTCTCAGACAACAGGGGGTACTTTAAAGATTTGATACCCAATAGAGAAAGGCTGCCTGCACCTGGGAGCTGGGGACAGTGCACAACTTAAAGAAGGGGTGGAATGTGCTCTGGGGACAAAGAACAAACAGTTCTCAGAGGCAGACTCTGAGCCAGTTCTGAGTTCCCTCCCCACCTCACCCAGTCCAGATCTCTGGACAGCCCCCCCACACACACACTCACTCTTCTTGCAGGAGGTGCATTTGCACTCCTTGCACTTGCAGGAGCCAGCGCAGGTGCAGGCGTCACCTGTGAGGAGAAGGCAGCAGTGAGCAAGGAGAGATGAGACAGGAGCAGAGGTCAACACCTGAGCCCAGCATAGCCCAACCCCAGACCAGCTGCTCTTCCACTGAAGCCTCAAGGAAGCCTCACCCCGCCTCTTCCTTGACGGGAAGAGGGGTCCCCTGCCTTCTTCAGTCCACACAGCTCAAGATTTGACAGAGCCCCAGGGCTCAGCCTTGAAGAACCCCTGCTGGGTGACAAGGACAGAACCACTGTCTTCCCCATGCTGACATGGACCCATTCGGAGGACGTTTCTGCTCCAAGAGCAGAGGTACAAGCAGAAGTACCGATTTAATGCGCCCTCCATACTACGGACCCTGTTCCATGACCTCAAGATGGTGTTTGAAGGAGTAAATGTCGGGATGTCTCACCAGATGCGCAGGAGCAGTTGGGGTCCATCTCGAGCTACGGGGAGGCTGCAGATGTGGCGGAAGGCAGAGGCTTGAGTGGCTGCTGGAAGGCGTTGGCGCCCAGCGCGCCGCCTCCTTATTTATAGTCGGGGGTTTGTCCCGGGCGCAAAGGGTTTGCACCCGCCGGCGCCGTGTCACCCGCCCGCGGGCCTTGGCGGGCTGAGCGCACCCTGCGGGCCGGGCGCAGAACCTCCCTGGAACCCGGGGGCCCTGAAGTGGGGTTCGCGTGGTGGGAGGGCGGTGCGCCCCGCCTCGCTGCCTCCCGCTGCCTCCCGCTGCCTCCCGCATCCCTTCGCTGGCCTCATCTTTCCAGTGCCCGAGAGTTTTCGGGTCACTGTCAGAATCCCAGAAACTGAGTGGTGGCTGTCCCCAACCCTAATCCCGCACAGTGATGTCATCGTAGCCTGGCTGTACTCCTTGTTCTGCCATTGCTGAAGTCACAGCGAGAAGTGCATGGGAGCTGGTCTCAGTGTCCCTTGGATATCCCTAGTTATCTTTTCCTGTCTCCACCTTAGTCCTTGGTCCTTTCCCTTGTACACAGCAGTTGGGTGGGGACAGGGTCTGTGCCCCTTTCTTCCACTGTCCACTTGGGAACTGGGGACCCCAGTTCAATGCGAGGACTCCCAGTAGCCCAGCCGGCCCCCCAACTCCAGGAAAGCGTTATAGGAAGTGCTTCCTCTGGAGCCAGTGACCAGCACTCAGTAAGGACAAGAGATCCCCAGAGCCCCTCCTCTGAGCAGGGCCAGTCCTGAGTGCTCCTTCCCCACTGAGGGAGGGAGGAGAGAAGTCTGGTCTTTTGTCCCTTCATCTGGGAAGGGCAAATGCCCTCCTGTTTCACCACACAAGGAAGAACAGGTACTTTGGAATAACTTGATTTGGAGTCCAGGATCAAATGATCAATGCCACAGAGGCCACCTCCTCTGTCCCCATCCATCCTGAGTATTCCAGGGCTACATACACAGACTCCTGGGCACAGCCTGAGTCCCCTGACCCTGGGTGACTTCAGGCAGGGCAGTCTTGAGCCTCAGTGCCCTGAACTGTGACATGTGGCAATGCTGTCAGGAGCTCAGATGGAAGAAACCATTGAACACACTAAGTTCACCCTACTCAGAACCAGAAGGTGTGGTTCTCAAGCCAGGGACACTGTGCGATGTGACTTGGAGGTCCGTGTCTCTAGGTCGAGTTTCAGGCATCCTTTTCCAGGGGCGCAGGAAATATCTGGGTCCATTTTAAGGATTATTTTCGTTTCTTTCCTTTTATTTTTATTTTATATTTTGGCGGTAGTGGAGACTGAACTCGGCCTCCACTGGCAATCAGGACGTCTACCACTTCAGACGTCTCCAGCTCAGGTCCATTTGGAATACAGGTGAGGCTACAATTGAAACCAGGTGGTCAAGTGCTGATGGATGCAGAATGCAGGTGATGACCTCCACACCCTGCTCTCCGAAGCCAGTGAAGGGGCCGGGCGCAGAGACCCCGCCCCGGCCTTGTGCAACTGGGGCCCAGTCAGCCACCCCGCGGCCTTGGCGGAGCTGAGCGCACCTTGCTGGAGGGGCGCACAAGGTCCTTAGAGCCCGGCGGCGCGTCAGGCGGGAGGGCGGGCTGTGCACCCAGCCCTACGCAGCCTCCTGCCTTCTGCCCCCGCTTCGTTTTCCAGTTCCTGCAGTTTTGGCGCCAGGACCGTTCCAGAAATTCAGTGTCCAACTCCCTCCCCGCACCTGCCCAGAGCCGATGTTCCCGAATCGCTGAGACCAGGGTGGGATGAGGGAGGTGTATGCAGATGTCTGGCCACTAGAGTCACCTTTCCCGCCACCATGTTACCTGTCTCTCTTTTTTTTTTTTTTTTGACTCAGGTTCTCCCTCTGTAGCCCTGCTGGTCTGGAATCCCTCATCCTCCTCCATCACCTCCTGGGTGGTGGGTTGAGGACTTGGCCACCAGTCCTGGTTCCTTTTGAGATTGGGAGGAACTCAGAAGAAAGACTCAGAGCTGTCACCACAGGGAGCTGTCAGGAGTCAGTGAGTGTCCTGTCATGGCCATGGTCACTGCACTGCTGGCTCCTTGTGGAGTTGTCTAGACCTGGGCTGCTCAAGGAGTGAGGTCCACACATTAGGGACAGTGTGACCCTTGTTTCTAATGTGCAATGCACACTACCAATGAACATTTGTGCAATGTGCAGATCTTTTATACTTATAGTTTGATTTGACATTTTTAAATGAATATTTTGGCAGTGCTGGGGTTTGAACTCAGGCCCTCAAGCTTGCTAGGCAGGTGCATTACCACTTGAGGCATTCCACCAGCCTGTTATTTTTGGCTTTTGCTTTTATTCACTAGGGACTTATGTACCCCGGACTTACCTTGAAATGACATCATCCTGTCTAGCCCCCAAATGCTTGAAAGACAGGTGTGTGCCACCACACCCCGCCTTATATCTTTAGTTTCATAATTTCTTCTTTTATTTAGTGTTGTTTCTTATTAAAGACAAAATAATGGGTTTTTAATTTCATTTTATTTTATTTTATTTTGGGGGCTTAAACTCAGGGCCTACACCTTGAGCCATTCCACCAGCCCTTTTTCTAATGATTTTTTTTTTTTTTTCGAGATAGGATTTCACAATCTATTTGCCTGGGCTGGTTTGGAACCAGGATCCTTCTGATCTCTGCCTCCTGAGTAGCTAGGATCACAGTTGTGAGCCACCAGTGCCCAGCTGAATTTTGTATTTATTCATGTCATTTTCTATATTTTTATGTCATTTTATCTACAATTCATATCATTTACCAAGGCTTAGTTGTGAGATGGGTAAAAAATAAAATATGTTTCTTCCCAATGGAGACTGAGAGACTCTGGAGAGGATTCAAGTAATTTTGGAAGAGGGATTTCCCACACTTAGAAAGAGCTGAAGTTACACCAGGAAATCAGAGTAGCAAAGGAAAGATTGAGAAGTTTCTGAGCTATTGACACTTCCCATGGGGACTTAGGGGACCATGCATTTCCCCCAATCTCTAACCAATCCTCCTATACACAGCTCTTCCACTTAAAGAAGGTCCATGAGTTGACCTGGCTTTCCTGGAGACACTGCTTTCTAGAATCTCCCATCCCAAGCCTGAGTCCAGGTCTGTGCATCCCAATCATATACTATCTAGTCTCTTATCCCAGGGCAAGCAAAGAAATCCAGCATCAGAATCAAGTCATCAACTTTTATTATCAGCTGCATGTTTATAGAAAAAGACATGTAGCAAGGTTCTATAAAAATGAAATCTAAGATTGAATACATCACTCTATTAATATTGGCAGAAGAGCTGTTCCTACACCAGGCACAGCAGTGCCATTGTCAGATGCCCCTTCACTGACACAGTCTTGGGATCAACTGGCAGTGTCAACAGCACAGCAGGAGCATCAGCTTGGGGTAGGAAGGGGAGAGTGAGAGGGCAGAACTGACTTACTACAGCAGCAGGTCTGGCCTGAGCTCTGCCCAGCCTCACAGGACCCTTAGTTCAGGGTGCCTGCTGTTAGGAGACACTGGGGGATCATAGGGGTATAAAAAGTTTCCTCAGCCACACCTTGGTCAAGGAGAGATAGAAAGCAAGGAAAGGCAGTGACAGGTCCCAAGAGAATGAAAGGAAGACATTAAGAAAGGAAAGTACTCAAGATCAGGTCTGTCCTTAGCTTCCTGGTGGTCACTCTGGGCCTCAGTGCCTGTTCTAAGAATAAGGAATCAATGATCTCTCAAGTTCTTCCTGCTTCCATCCTGCATGAAGTGGCTGAGGGAAAGGCAGTGGGGTGCAGGTCATAGACTGTGCTTTTCTGAGTTCTTTCCACTGGATTTACTTCTATGACTCAGCAAAACTCCCGGATCCCCACTGTGGCCAGATCCATTCTCCTGGAGAAGCACACTTGCAATCCTTGTAGCTGCAGGACTCAGGGCTGGTGCAGGAGTCCTCTGTGAAGAAGAGAAGCCAGCAGGGAGAGAGCTGCAGGAGACACTGCAGCGGGGAGACTGGCTTTAGCTCCCCAGAGCCCCTCATTGGAGCAGGGCCAGCCCTAAGGGCTCCTTCCCACTGGGGTGGAAGGAGAGACATCTGGTCTTCTGTGCCTTCATCTGGAAATGCAAGCGCCATCCTTTTCACCCACAAGGAAGCTTCCACACCCACACCAGCCCTGGGTGACTGCAACTGGTAGCTAGGATGTCAACTTTAAAGAAGCAATGTCCTCTGCCTCTTCCTAACTTTTCTCTCCCAGAGCTGCACAGATCCCTCTACCCAGTCTTCTAGCCCTTGACATTGGGTGACATCACCAGTTCCACCTTGAGCCTAGGTGCTATTGACTCTAATGTATGTTGGAACATAGAAGTATGTTGAGTAACTTTGGCATGAAGAAGGCATTAGAGAAGTTGATTTTAATTAGCAAAGAACACAATTTGAGCTTCTCAAACACAGGGACACTCTTGTGCCTTGACCTTCAATTGGGTGTCCTAAGGGTCAGAGTGAGGCATGGGCATAATCAGTGTGGCATGGGCAAATAGAGTCCACTTTTTTCTAGATGAAGATGTAAGGATAAAGAAGTTTCAGGTAGCCTGGTGGAAGATGCATTTGACCCCTGAGCCATCCTACTGGCTTCAAAGTTAGGAAAGGGACTATTATTTTCTCCCAGTGGCCACCCAAAGATCCTGCTCACAGTTCTTTCAATTTACAAAAAGGAAGGTGGGTGAGGACACCTGGCTTACCTGCAGTCACTACTTTTGAGCAAGGAGCTGACATTTTAAGCCAGAACCCAGGTCTCTGCATCCCAATACCACAGTAACGTATTCCCCAGGCACACAAACAATTCAGAGTCAGAATCAAGTCAATAACTTGTATTACCAGTCACACACTTTATAGAAAAAGAAATGCTGCATATGGGTCAGAGTTATATATATATATATATATAAAAAAATTCACGGGCTGGCAGAGTGGTTCAAGCTATAAGAATGCCTGCCTAGCAAGGGTGAGGCCCTGAGTTCAAACCCCAGTGTTACCAGAAAAAAAAACAACCACAT